CAGACTTCTTTTGCGGGGTGAATAAATCGTAGAAATCGGCCTAAAAAGGGTATCAATTGGCCAGATAAGGTAGCCGGCCAGAGAAGCTCCATTGCCCCGCCTGTACCTACATTTTGTATTTATTTTTACCTTTATTGTACAAACATACCCACTGGGTTAACTACAAAGAAATAGTTTGTACGTACATACATGTATACATGTTAGCACTAGCGCCATAGTCTATTCGTGCTTTCTTTAGTTTTGTTCAGTTAAGCATATTTTTTTTATAAAATATGAGAACCAACAAATTAAATTGGTATGGCCTAAGCAAATGAGATTTTCTTCTCTAACGTAAATCTTAAAATTTTTTTCCTGCCACTGTGTCTATTATAAGAGGTCTGTTTTAAATTTAGCATTTAATTCTTCTGTTTGCATTGTACTAGTCACAAGCTGATGCGTCATACTGGTAGTTCAAGAGCAACAATTGCTATCGAAGTATGTTGCGTCAGCTTGTAAAATGTGAACAGATGTTAGCACAATGGTACACTAATGTTACAGTATAAAGTTGTATGGTGTTTTGACAGTGAGGTTGAGAAATTGCCATTTGAAAAAAAACAACACCAAAATTTCATTGAGAATTTCTGGCATAAATGTTTGATAAGGCCACACCAATTAAATTTCATGGTTAACGGATTTTTGTAGAAAAATAATGAAGCGGGCGAGTGAAAAAAATAAAAACTTATAAATATAATGGCCCAAAATGGTACGATAGGAGCCATGACGTCAACACACCAGGCTGGTTCAAAATTTAAACAATGAATTTTGAACTGTTGATGATACCACTGCATTGAAAGATGAAATAACTGTAACAACTTCCTAGGATAAAAGGACTGTTTTCAACTGTTCAGGGTAAAATATGAGCGCTTTTACATTTGAATTTGATTCTAAATTTTTTTTTTGCAAATCAGAAAAAAATGAAGCGGGCGAATCCGTTAACCAAGAAATTAAATTGGTGTGGCCTTATGACGGTGTATGATAGAATGCTGTCTTCTCCATATTTTATTTCTTTCTCACATGAAACCCACAATTGGTTCATCCTGGCCCAGTGAAAACTCCCAGTGATGACAGGCATGTCAGGGGTCACCTGATGGCAGGAGAATAGACGTCAGGGCTTTCCCACGTCTGCTATTGTGCCAGACACCCCTGAAGGGTTATTAAAGCTAACGGTTTGTTGGGAGAGGGTGTACCCATTTGGTTAGGCCGAACACGCCTCTTCTATTGTACAAAATCTGGGATAAAATATGCTGTTGGTGTTAAGGTAAGGTTCTCAATTTATAATATTGTAGGTAAGAAAATACAGGGCCTAAAATACTGGGTGCACGTGCACCTTGGTGCACCTAAATTTGGAGCTGTGCACCCAGTTTTTTTCTGTGGGTGCACCAGTGCACCCAAATATTTTCATAGGTTTACGTAAACTATGTAAAGATGTTAAATGTATGATAGTATCAACAGCATATTCTTAACATCTAAGTGTCTTAAAATAGTAAAATCATTGCTAAAGTACATGTACTTTTCATTACAAATGAAATATAATTAATTCTTGCGGACATTGTACTTATTTTATCTTATATGGTGCACCCAAGGACATTATACAGGAAGGACTGGGCTCGCATTTAGTCACTATTCAGCAACGTTCGACTCATGTGTGAAAAAACAATTGACACCTATATGCCGATTACCCCTTGATTTACATAAATACAAAGCGCCCACAAGCGGCCCCCGCTATTGTTAGAAAATTTACGATGCCGCGACCGGGCGACAGGCACATTGTTTGGAGCAAGTTTGGGGTGATTTTGAGGATTGAAATAATATTTAGTATGATTTTGAAGAATTGGAGGGGGATATATCCACACACGTAGTACTACACTTGAATCAGGGACCTTTGCTTGAATGTAAAGTTACACACTAGCGCGAGCGGGTGTTCCATATTTCTGTGTTTTAAACTGAAGCCCCAAGAAACAAACACAACGTGCCAAGCTTCTGTTTTTTTGCCAAAAACTACAAGCAGACACGGACTAGATAAGATCGGGAACCCACATGTATATGAAGCATGAATGTCTGGACATGTCCCTGGTGCACGTTTCTGGTACATAAATGGCGATCTTCCGCTTGGCTTCGGAAAATGCAACCCCTAAAGTACGGACCCGATCTTCTCCCATGACTTTCTAAGTCCGCCGTACAAGTCCATCTACAGAATTTCCTACAACATGGTGCAATGTTTGAACCCAGCGACCGGAAAAAATCGACAACGACCGCCGATAAAATGTACAGGAATGTAAACAAAAAGGTCCGTACATTCAAAGAAAAACGTTCACTAATACAGGAAAAACGACGTAACAACATTATAGCGAGATAAAATCTGTGTATTTTCTTAGATATTTTACGGCTGAAAACATAAGTGACTTCGACGAAAACGGCTGTAAACTTGTCCATGTTTGTCGTACGGCGATGAAACAAACATCAAAATCTCCGCCATTTTCTTCTCTACGCGATGCCGACGTCTGCGCATGGCAGCCGCGCAACCCAAATAAGGAAACTGTCGGAAAACGCAGGGGTAGCGAAGTAGTCTTCGGAAGGCTTCGGCGCCCATGACGTCATGGTGCTGCTCATTAGCTATGCCAACGTCATGATTCGGCCGAAAACCCCGCGAAAGGGTGAGTCCAACGTTGACATCAATCGGGGGCCGCGCGGGCGTGAAGACAAAGGGACGCAGCGGGACTCGGCGCGGCGGAACAATGGCCACCGCGGGGTGTTAATTGCGAGCCCAGTCCTTCTTGTACAATGTCTCTGGTGCACCCAAAAACTTTTTTGTGAGCCTAATTTTTTTAGGTTGGGTTGGGAGTAGTGAACCTACTCCCAAAAATGAATTTCGAGCCCTGAAATAGTTTTATCACAATAATAATTGTCTTTAATATATTCAAGTAAGACTAAGAGTGTCAGAACTGTAACAGTGGGGTCAAGTACTAACTGACCCAGTCCAATGGGTCCAGACCTTTTGGCCTAGCGGTCAGTGCATTGTTTTCGTAAGCTGGCTGCCCAGGTGCGGTACGGGTTCGATTCCCAGTGTCAGGGTAGACTGTTTTACTCTCCTCTTGTTTCCCAACTGTTCTCTTTGAAGACTTTTTGTAACAAGTTCTTTGCGTTTTTATATTGAATGCTGCCTTAATTAATAATAATTGTGACATAATTTAAAGAGTGATTTGTTGAATTGAAGTTGTTGAAAGGTCTCTAAAAAGTGTTAACCTAGAAATGTACACAGGCTAGGTTATAAATTGGGGTATAAACATTATGAACATTGTCACACAAACACTAGTGTAGAAAGAGACAAATACTAGCTGAAAGATAACAAATATTTAGGCCACACCAATTTGATTTCTTGGTTAATGGATTTTTCTAGAAAAATAATGGAGCGGGCGGGAAAAAAAAAAAAAATAAAAACAGGCCTAGGCATCCTATTATGGTCCAAAATGGTACGCTAGGAGTCATGAAGTCAACACACCAGGCTGGTTCAAAATTTAAACAATGAATTTTGAACTTTTAATGATACCATTGCATTGAAAGATGGAATAACTGTAACAACTAGGATAAAAGGACTGTTTTCAACTGTTCAGGGCAAAATATGAGCATTTTGCAGTTGATTCTGAATTTTTATTGAAGCGGGTGAATCCGTTAACCAAGAAATTAAATTGGTGTGGCCTTAGTGTAGAAAGAGATAAATACAAGCTGAAAGATAACATACAAAGCAAAATTTATCTAGCCAACATTGGTCTTGAGCGCAGGTGGTACAAATCAGTATAGAAGACAGTTACTTTTCTGAAAAACAAGTCGAGTTTCTTCGTGTTTTATTGCTGTGATCCTACATGTTTATGTGACTAGAACATATATTATGCCTGTTTTATACACAAAAGCTAAATGTTGCCAACACACATGTGGTAAAGGAAGGGTCACTGTAGTTTATCATGGTGTCATGACAGGTGACATCAACCATTTGTTTCAGTAACAAATTACGAAACTATTAGGCCACACCAATTTAATTTCTTGGTTAACGGATTCGCCAGCTTCATTTTTCTCTGATTTGCAAATAAAAATAAAAATTCAGAATCAACTGCAAAATGCTCATATTTTGCCCTGAACAGTTGAAAACAGTCCTTTTCTTCCTAGTTGTTACAGTTATTCCATCTTTCAATGCAGTGGTATCATTAAAATTCAAAATTCATGTATACATGTATAAGATACATAAATACATAAATAAATTACATAAATAAATAATACCAGGAAAAAAACATACAAATTAATAACTATTGGGATACAAAAATAAACTACTTCACTGTAGATGTGGGTGCATTATTAACAGTTTAATGTTTCAGCAATTTTTCAGGGAAGTTGGAAAGCTCTTTAGGCCACACCAATTTAATTTGTTGCTTCTCAGATTTTTTCAGAAAAAATATGAAGCGACAGGGCGAAATAAAAAACAAAACAAAACAGGCCAAGGCACCCCGTGATAGCCGGAAATAGTACAATATGAGCTATGAATTAAATAATTAAAACAATATATTTTGAACTTTAAATGAAACGAAGTTGTATAAATGTTACATTGAAAAACTTTAACAACTAGGAAGAAAAGGACTTTTTTCAACCGTTGGGGCCAAAATATGTCTTTCATTGAGCATTTAGAACCAAAAAAAATTTTTTTTTTTGCAAATCGGAAAAGAAATGGACAGGGTGAATCCAAGAAACAACAAATTTAATTGGTGTGGCCTTATTGGCTTATGTCAAACTTGAAACATTGATTTCCTCAAACAACAGAAGAGAAAGAGAGAGCCCCTCTCCAGATGTCGTGGTCGGCTAGTCACTCTTTCCACTTCAGTCAGCGCGGGGCTCACGCTGCGCGCTCCGTCCGAACTCGAGAGGTCACGCGTACTCAAGTACCTTTGCTTTTCCCCTTCTGTCCCTGCTACTAGGTTTTCCGTGTAAGACAAGACCTGGGCAGTGAGAGAGACACACGCGAACCAGAATGGGGTCCGACCTGCTAGCCATACAGCTGGAGGTAAGTTTCTAACTTCTTAGCCTCCATAGCAATTTTGCCAAAAACTGGAGGTCTTCAGGGTCTTTGGGAGCTTGTATGTGCTATTTTCTGATGGCATATAGACAACATAGCCGGCCTGGTTGAAATTACCCCCGTTTTTAGAACTGGGCTAATCAGAAAACAGCCAAAGACCACCAGTTCTATAAGCCTGCAATACGGAGGCTAGTGAGTTCTAGAAAGCTTGTGTTCATTGATTGTTTTTAAAGGTGATAATTGGGCCCGAAGCCTTTGTGTAAGGAAAGGCTTTTTGGATGGAAATTTGGTGATTTGTTTTTATCTAAAAGCACACAGTTCATTGTTAGAGGGTTACAGTTGTTGCTTTTGAATGTACAATGCTTGCCACAAATGTCTATTGTGTTGTGGGATGTCAGGGAGGGCTATTTCAACAATGACATGTTTTTTGAAGGGGGGTTTCTTTTCACGGAGTTTCAACGTCATTTTCCACTTTTTCAATTAGTGGCAGTGTGCAGGTTTATTTGTCGCAATTGTATGCTGGTTCAGACTGAGTGATCTCAAACGTGTAAACAAATTCCTCACAAATATCAACAATAACAACATGTAAATCAGTTATATAAAAGGCCACACCAATTTAATATCTTGGTTAACAGATTTTTGTACAAAAATAATGGAGCGGGCGGGTGAAAAAATAAAAAAAATAAAAACAGGCCTAGGCATCCTATTATGGCCCAAAATGGTACGATAGGAGCCATGAAGTCAACACACCAGGCTGGTACAAAATTTAAACAATGAATTTTTAACTTTTAATGATACTACTGCATTGAAAGATGGAATAACTGTAACAACTAGGAAGAAAAGGACTGTTTCCAACTGTTCAGGGCAAAATATGAGCATTTTACAGTTGATTCTGAATTTTTATTTTCATTTGCAAATCAGAAAAAAATGAAGCGGGCGAATCCGTTAACCAAGAAATTAAATTGGTGTGGCCTAAGGACATGTAATCAGCTTACAAGCCAAGGGTGGCAACTGTAATCCTTTTATGAAATTTAAGTTATGCAGAAACTTATAAACAGATTTGCTTTTTCACACCAGAGTACTTAACAGTTGCTACAAAACATGTACATGTATACTGTAATGCCTGATATTTTTGCGGTACTGTTATGTTCACGGTTTTTGCGGTCAGTTCTGTATTGCAAACTTATCGTTAACAAATAATTTGCCGACTTTCTTTTTTTCTGCACCTGCTGCCTGGTGTGAACATATAGTTTCTGGAACACCATTTTCCTCTAACCGCAAACCTTTGTTATTGCGGACATATATAATGTGAACTACAGTAGTTAAGAGGTCTGCTGCCTATGACCACCAAGTTACAGCAAATTAAAAGAACAGGTTTAATATATTAACTTGGTCATATATAAATTACATGCATGCATGGATGCTCAGAAGTGACCAGGAAAAAAATAGTTGAAACACTTTTCCTAAACACTTAAACAGTCGTTCTGCCACGAGACAAAACAGATGAAAGCGGTGACTAAAATCTCTCTTGAAAATTCCAATGAATATGAGTGGCTCCACATGGGGTGCCCCACCTAGTCCAGCACTCCATACATTTTACATACTACAATAGCTCATTGGCTTTTGTATCCAGGTAGTTTCTTGGCAGGCTCCTATTTTCTAGGTGACAGTGACGTCCTGAAAAATGGGGGTCTTTCATTCATGTTCTTGTAAATTTTGTACGTTTACCCAGCAGGGTTTAAAATCAGTGACTGTACAAAATACTTTTTTGAACCAGGTTGCCCAGTGGTCAACCTACTGCAAAAATTAGGTTGCCCATCAGAATTTTAGGTTGCCCCACGTATAAGTTACTCACTTTCATCAAATTGTTACATACATTATAAAGCCTTTGACAATATTTCTAACAGCCTTTAGTTAACTGATACTAGTAATAGCCATTATTACCTAAAATTAAAAAGCATCTTCCAGATACAGTGGTGCAAGCCAAGCAGGCATGATGGGGGGGGGGGCATTCTTAAAATTCAGGTAGCACACTGGGCTACCTAGGTTAAAATTTGGTTGCCTGGGGCAACTGAGCAACCAAGTATTTTGCATGCTGAAAATGCATTTTTGGAAATGCAAATAGTTGAACTGGTACACCTAACCTAAATCTGTATGGAAAGGTGGACAGAAAAAATATTTTTTTTTTGCAAATCAGAAAAAAATGAAGCGGGTGAATCTGTTAACCAAGAAATTAAATTGGTGTGGCCAAAGTGGTGATTGATGTGGTTCTGTCCCGTGATTGTGAGGTGGATTGAAACTGGAGCAGGGAAATTGTACTCTTTCTTTGAACCGTTCTCTCACGGAATGTGGCACTGCACCCCTGCGGAACAGCCAGTATAATCTTTCGTGTATCGTTTTGTCCTTTTCATTCTTCAGTCAAGACGTATGTGTTTATGTCTGGATGTATCTAATACCATTGTTGACGGCGTCGCACTTTTATTGAACTTTTTAAAAGCTGTTATAGGAAAGGGAAAGTCACATATGTCTAAGGCATCCTCCCATCTTGAGAGATGATGGTAGCAAGTCATATGGGCGCCCGCAAGCCCTTTTCTGTAGAGCGTAATCAGCTGTCTTAATTCTACGTAGAGCGTATATGGACCGCTCTAATTCAACGTAGAGCGTACTAATTGGCGCATTTTGCGTAGAGCGTATTCGCCGTTTTAATTCTATGTAATGCGTTGTAGCTACTTTGAATATATCGTAAAGCGTAATCGAGAAGTTTCTGAATTCAGCATAGACGATAGAGCGTTGTCGGGACCCCCCTCGGGCGACCCCCCTTGCAGGTCCTCTCATATAGCTCACAATAAGTTAAAATTCAATAAAACAAGAAATAGGCAACAAGTCATTTGAAATATCCTGTCAGAGTAGTTGAAGTTAAAACTGCTGACAAATTCTGTACTTGAATTATCATTATTATAGTACTTTTGACATCAACTTTCACAAATTTTAATTTATGGCTATGATCAGTCATTCATAACTTTTTATCTTGGAAACAAGCAACGTTTTAGTTGTTTAGCCTCAGGTAATTCAGAACACCCCGTGTTGTAGTCTATATTGCTACTAGTAGGTCATCACTAAAGCCTTGGTCACAACCTGCCATACGTGCATTTGCGTGCTGTCTACGTCCAAAAACGTGGGCAAACGCAGGGTATCCGTGCGTGGTGAGTACCGCCTCCGTACGGAATCCTACGGATTTGGGAGCACGCAGCAAGCCGTAGAACTTAAAGTGCATGTAAAACTTTTTCTACATGTGGTCTGCGGATTCACCACCCGTACGTGCAAGTACGAGAGACGCGCGTGCCCTGTACGTGCCGTACGGACGAAGCACGTGTGAGTTCGGCCTCCTTACGGTAAAGTTGCATTCGCAGAGATCGTACGTTGTAAGCACGTACAACTCACTTACCACTTGCGCAACGTACGATGCACGCAACCGCTCACGGCCAGACGTAACGTGCAGACCACACTCTTACACCTTGTGCAACCGTGCGAGTGACGTGCGTCGACGCCACTCCTTCCCTACGTTTTCAGAAAAAACGTAGCAGACGTAGCCTCAAAAAAAAAACGTACGGACAAAAAGCACGTACGGCGGGTTGTGACCGTATCTTAAGTGGAGCACGAAGAGCACATCTCTGCCAACTGTCAGTCTGCGATAGTCAGAAGAGAACACACAAAGCTGTTCTGTAAACAGAAAACATTGGAGCCTCTCCCCTTACAGGCTCTGTGTAAGTCTGTTTAAAGAGAGTATAAACATTTCCACCTCACGTATACAGCCAGGTAATGCGATGGCACCAGGCTCGAAATACATTTTTCTGCATACCTAACATTGAAAATCTGCATACCAGCTGCAGGTAACATTGAAAATTACCTGCAAATATAAGACTTTTAAAAAATGTTATCATTGATTTTTTTCATACTTCATACATGTAGGTGGTAATAGTTAATGCTAATGTCAATGTTAAAGTTAAGTTGAAGTCCTAACCCCCAACCATTGGGCATGGCACTCCTATGTCCATTTCTGTCGCCCTTGGGCCACACAGTTGTGCAATCACTGCAGCAGGCGGCTAGTCCACTGGTAGTGGTGTATGTTTAACTCCCATATGCTTTCTCAAATACTGAGTTTTAATCAGAGAAAGCAGTATGTACCATTTATAAAGTTTAGGCAAGGGATCGAACTCACTAGACCTACCATACCCACTCTACCCACTTGGCCATTGCACCGGCTAGCAGTCACACAGCAAATGCAGCAAACAAAAATTCACAAACACCTAGTACATTTATATACCCAGTACATGGACCAGTACAGGTAAGATGCAGGTAGACATCAGAAATACTGTACCTAGCCTGCTTAGCCTCGAAATTAACGTTTCTTCCTATTGTCCCAGCACTGTCCTAAATATAAATTTCAGTTGTCCCGAAGTGAGGTTGAACTGTCCCAACCTGTTTTTCAGGAAGTATGTATGTCATTGACTTGAACTTAAAGTCAACTTTATTTTGCTTATGTTCTGACTCCCAAAGTAGACAGAAAATTAGGGGGGAATTTTCCGGAGCCAAAAGCTGGGACGTGTGCCTGATAATCAAAAGAAGGACATTCTAGGTCTGATGTTGATTATATTTCTATTGTGACTGTCCCAAAAATGTCCGAAAGTGTCTTTTTAGTAGTATGTCCTGGCCTAAATTTTTAGTGCTCAATGGCCATTGGGACTCTGTTATGATTTAAATTTCGAGCCCTGGGCCCCAATTTTACACAATCATGCATGTACCTGCACACTTGCACCAAGTATTTGGAGTCCTGACAGGCATAAGTTGATAACGCAGTGTTTGGATAGAGCTGTGGTCTGTGAGGATGTGAGAACAAGGGGCTCAGTGATGGGTGGCATGTGGCCAGGCTTAGGAACCAGTTAACTCCAGCCCTGGATGGATTCAACAAGATGACAACAGCTTGGAAG